TTTTTTCAATTTAAAAAACCGATGGTGTTAGTGTTTGCCGCAGGTTACTATACCAGCCAGAAAGATTCTTATCTTTTTGAGGATAAGGAGTTAAAAAAAAAAAAAAAACCCATTGTTTAGAGGGACATGCAGGTGGACGGTGGACCGGACTCCCTAATTTCTTTTCATTTCTTATATCTGCAGCGTGCTTCTTCTGATGCAATCAATTTTCTTATCCCCAAAACCCAGCCACTCACAGCCCCACCACCGGCCACCGCGCCAAAAGTTGGGCATAATATATTTACAAATTAACACTTAAATTCCAAGTTCTCTTTCTCATGTAATTACTATTAATTATATTATTTTTCACTTTAACGTTCATCGTCATATTCATATATGCCCTAAAAGCGTCGGAATTCAACAAGCAATATTGTTTCTCGCCGCACAGAGCAGGTCTCTTTTGTTTTTTTGGCTTTTTATTTCATTTTTGCCACCTTTATGGATAAGGAGAATGACGGAAAAAAAATAAAAATTACAAATTTCAAATCAGGTTCGGTAACGCGACTTTATTTAGTATTGACAATTTTGGATTTATAAATATCAACAAATTTTTATTGACATTCCTTATTTAATATTTACAAATTTTTAGTTTTTTTTTTTTGGTCATCGTCCCTTGTGGATATTTCGTTTTTCCGGGTTAAATGGGGGTGGCATCTAGTCATGTGCTCACACGGTAGCAGGCTTTGCTTGCTCGTGATGTAACCAAACATGCTTCCCTTGGTTTTATTTTTTTAATTTTCAAACGCCGAAAGTCAATCCTATTCAATTAATTAATTCCTCATTCCTTTTCCCTTGCTCAGCTCTCCGCTATTCCCACTCCATTTTTCTTGCTTGTCTCTATATTATTGCCGCTCACGCTTATACTTCAGAACCTGAGAGAGAGTATTGTAAAGTAGGATGCTGTCATGCTGATGCTATATGTGGTGATATCTTAAATTTGTTTAATTAGTCTGATGATAAATCAAACTGCCGATGCCTCACAGGCTCACGTTCACATAACTACTGCCCCATATAACACCATCCATAGTCAATGACAGTCGAAGGCGACGTTGACATTTCCTCTTATATTTTTTAATGCCGCCCCTTGACATTTCCGTGTTATTTATTACGTCATCATACGATAACTTTAGCCCGAATATAACGGTGGACTCAGATATTTAAACACTGAATACATAATTATGACGGAAAAACAAAAATTCCGCATATTTTCCCTGTTTTTTTCCCCTTCCCATTGGCCATTATAAAAAAGAGAACCTTGTGATTCCCTACCATCAGTCATCACTACGTGCATCCCCCCTGCTGAGCCAACTGGAGGAAGCAACAAAGATAAATCACTCTGCATGGCCACAGCTGACTTCTATCCTCCCGTAATTTTCAACCAACAAACGGACACGTAAACATTTCTAAGGTTTTCCACAAAAAAAAATCTGGTTAAGATTGATTTTTATATACATAATCATCTGATATCCCATCTCATTATACAAAGTAACTGTTGTATTAATAAGAGAAGGTAGTATATTAAAATTGAGAACTGTGGAATGCAATTTATAAGATCCGTTAATTTGTGTTCCTGTGCAGAGGGAGGTCTACAGAATCTGACAACCACATCTATAGATATATATCTATATATATCTATATAGATACATATATATATATATTAAAGAAAGAAGGGGGAGGAAGCAGTTCACGTGTTGATGAAAGGCCAGCAGGATGCATGTGAGTAACTCGGAACTGCCACACTCAACCAAATAAATCTTCATCTTATGTGTTGGACCTGTTTGCTCCCTTCACAGCAAGAATATTTCATCATTTTTCCAACAAACACGCTCCATGTGGCCACCTATTTCTGCATTTCTTGCTCTTCTATTCTTATTTTGAGTAGCCCCTCTGTCCCAATTTGTAATTAAATGTTTGTATTCTTTCACGCCATGCTGTGAGAAAGATATATTAACCAACAATTTTATTCTCCTCCGATCTAAACCCAATAATTGGATATTTAGTTTACACATATTAAGAAAACTGTGATTTGATTTGCATGACATTTTTTTTAAACATATGTATTGACACTACTCTTTGATAAAATTTCTTTTGATAATTGAAATTGACAAAAATAGTTTAAAAAATAAAATGAATTAAAATTTTATATTTAGAACCAAAATAAATTAATTGTATTTTTTGCCTTGTGCAAACCACACAAGTAGTATTGGAAGAGGGCCAGAGCCGGAAGACAATCACCTAGTTGACCTTTAATTAACAGCGTGGCGGGGACACATAGGGCTGCCGCGCAATTATTTCCAAATGACGAATAGTTAATACTGACAAAATAATAGTAGTATATACTAAAATAAAATCATAAAATCCAAATAGTAGTTAAGATATTTATTGTTATTTTAAATAAAATATTCAGGCAGATTCAGCCTTGTCGGCGAGGCGAGCTCAAACCACATTTTCTGACCAGTTCAATTTTTAAAAAATACCCCTGCTTGGTTAGAAATGACAATATCAGCTCGTATCCTCCTCCTTTTCTCACACTCCTCTTTTTCTGATACCCGTATATGGTGTTGACATGCTTTAAATATTCAGCGCACCGCCCCAAGAAAATACATAAAATGAAAGTGGCGTAATCGTTAAAAAGATTATACCTCCACCAAAGAAAGATAAGGCTATATATACAAACACACATATATACTGGCCGATGCGTGTTAATCTTTTTCCGTCTGCCATCGATAAAGCTCTGAGTATTATTATCTGTTCAATTACTTATTTTTGTTTAAAATTTAACATGCCACTACATAGTCACTCGTCCAAGAGTAAAATTGTCATCATCGTCACTCACCATAACGGTATATCTTGTGGATAGTTCTGTTTTAAGTAAAAAGTATACTACTTTAGTCCCAAAGATAAGTCACTTGTTAAAAAAAATTTGGTTTTAAACGTAAATAACTTGTAGTATATTTAATACTGCCTCCAGTTCTCAAGAGTTAGTTGACTAATTTGAGTATATTAAGAAAACTAGTTAAATTAATTATTTGCAATATATATGTATTGTCTTCCCTAAAATATCATTGTTGATCATTTGTATTAGTTAGAATTATTATTTGATAAAATCTTTAACATTTGAAATTACTATATTTGATAAAATCTTTAACATTTGAAATCACTACAAGGATTATCTTACAAAAAATAGATAAATATGAGAGACAAAGTGAATTGGGAGTCTTATATTAATGATCAAATTAAATGTCAAACTAACTATATATACTAAGAACCAGTACTTGTTTTCTAATCTTACCTTTGTTTAATTCTTATTATAAAAAGAGAAAGAAGTAAAAGGTATGAGAATATTTGTAAATGTAGATACAAAAAAAACTACTCACCCGGTCCTTAATATAAGACCTATTTAACTAATTTGATTAGATTAAGGATGTTAGGTAAGTTAGTTATTCATAAAAAAATATGACATGTTTTTTTCCTAAAATATCATAATCATCTTCCTTAATATCTTTAATCCCTCTTCTACTTGATTATGATTAAGGGAGTATCCATAAGAATAATTTAGAAAAAATTAATAAATATGATAAATATGTCTTATATTTAGAACAAAATCAACTTACCAATTAGGTTATATATTAAGGACCGGGGGAGTATAATAATAAAAATAAAATTTTAAAAATTAATAATTTAATGCATTTTGTGAAAATATATTACTAATAATTTATATTAAGAATCAAAGTGTTATAGCTATATGGCATGTCCTCCTTGTGGCTTCAGCAAAAAGGCAAAAATGGAAGAGGAAAAATCATGAAATAAATTACAAAAATAAAACAAAAATAAGGCGATTGTAGACGAATGGAGAGAGAAGGGGGAAAAGAAGATGCTGATAAAGAATGTAGGTGATGCCAGCCCAACAGAAGCGTTGAAATGGAAATAGTGAAGGCGAAAGAGAACGGCCAACAAGGCACCGGAGGGTGCATGATCCGACAACCCTCCGACAACTCAGCATGGCATCAATTTTCACGGAATTCAAAGCCTTTTCTTATTTTTATCCCACAACACCCTTGGTGCATGTTAGCTGTTAGCACCCATCCCTCCACGCTCCTCATTCCCTGGGTCCCTGGCTGACATCACAATAGATTTATATTTGAACAAGCTATTTATAAATAAATATCCCAAATCTACCAAAAAAAACTAAGAATTGATAATCTTTTTAATTTAGAAAATACTTATATCAAGTTTTTTATATTTATTATGTTAAATTTTTAATAATGATCATGTAAAAATATTAATATTTAGTAGTATTTAATTACAAATTTATATGAAACAAAAAAAGACACATGTTTATGTGTAATTGAAAAATAAATCTGACCTAAGCCTTTTTTTAATTTTTAAAATCTGAACTTATTTTAATTTTGACTCTTAAAATTTGAAATGATTAACTTTAGTTTTTGAAAACTTGTTTTAGAAAAAAAATATTGTTACAAAAATAAAAAAAGTTTTTTAGATGGACCAAAATTAGGTCTAATTTCAGATACTAAAATCAAAATAAATTCAAACTTTAAAAACTTAAGATCCAATTAATTGTAAATATACCTTACTAATAGTTATATATAAGAAATTCAATATTAAAACAAATGAATTCTATAGTCACATATAACGAATTTTTGGAATGCTAAACGTGACTATTAATTTTTTATTTATTTATGCCTATTAATTAGATCATTACATTTTTTTTTTAAGAAGGACCTCGGAAGAATAATATCAGGACTTGAAGAAGGTTCCGTAAATAACCTGTTATTTTGGTCTTAAAAAATAATTCTCCCTCCCTATGTTGCCAAGCCAAGTGGCCCTTCCGTGTGAAAACGGCCAAGGGCATTTTCGTCATTCCAAAGCGCGGGAACGGGCATTATAAGCGCTCGCTTCCCCCCTTGTCAGCTTTAGTCGCAAGCGTCATCCACCCCCACGCCCAAAACCTGAGTGCACCCCCGCCCATAATCCAGCGCGCCCGCCGGGGTTCTTATTTCTGGCCTCCGCGTTAGCCTAAGCTCCCATTACTATCTCTGCCTTGTTTTATATCTCTAGTTCTTGAACAAGTTCGGTGACCATTTTCCAGGCCAAACCTTCGCAACTGCCTCTGCTCCGCTGCTCCTGATTCTGCCGGCAGAGTTCGAAACTGTCTCCCGCAAAACCCCTCAGTGCATGATGGGATTTTGCATATGCCCGTTGGAAACGCCGGCTAGGTTGCTCTGGAGCACCAGCTTCTTCCGCCACAAGCTAATGATTTTTTAACTCTGGACACCTCTGATTCCTAAAACTTAAATACTATACTGAGATACCAGCTATTCTATTTTCTTCTGCCCCATCCGTCGCCGGAGTAAGTATCTCTGGTGGTCACCGGTGGCGATTGTTGTCGAAGACCTTGTACGTTTGTGGGAAGAAAGCGAGACGACCAAAGCTATGGAGTCCGGCCGTATTTTCTTCGGTTCCTCCACTTGCCGCGGGAACATGCTGTTTCTCGGGAACGGTGATCCAGTTTATAGAGGTGATTCTCAACTCTTTGCTACGTCACTTTGTCCGATTTGCCCATATGTTGTTTCATTTTACTTTGTTGTATAAATCTATGCTTCTTTAGCTGTCAAGAATATTAGTCCGTGATAACCAGGAATACAATAACAAATCTGGATTGACATCAACGGACCACTTAATTTTGCATAAAACTTGGTTTACATACAATAACAAATCTGGGTTGCCAATGTTTTTATATTTTTTTTCCTTCACCCCCAACAATAGAATTGAGATCGAAATTAAAGCAGGCGGATCGATAATAAGCATGGAGGAAAGCTCAAAGAAGCGACCATTTTTCAGCTCACCGGAGGAACTGTTCGACGAGGAATATTACGATGAGCAGTTGCCGGAGAAGAAGCGACGCCTCACTCCCGAGCAGGTTGGTTAATTGACTAGCTAGCTCGATATATATGCTGCGGCTTGGTCTCATAGTTGTAGATTATATAAAATCTGAAATATCAATAAGAATTTTTGATTCAGTATCAATCTGAGTTGCAGTTATGCATGTTAATTGTTCAGGGTGAAAATCCATCTTAATTCCGAGATATATTGTAAATTTTTGATTTAGTATTAATGTTTAGGTGCTTCTGCTGGAGAAAAGCTTTGAAGATGAGAACAAGCTGGAGCCGGAACGGAAGACCGAGCTGGCCAAGAAGCTGGGGTTGCAGCCAAGGCAGGTGGCTGTGTGGTTCCAGAACCGTAGGGCCCGTTGGAAAACCAAGCAACTTGAAAGGGATTACGATGTTCTCAAGTCTTCCTATGATGCCCTGCTTTCAAAGTACAGCTCCATTGTCAAGGACAATGAAAATCTCAAATCAGAGGTACATATCTATTGTTTCTCAGGGTCGATTTTGTTCTGGTGCGGCAATACAACAAAAAAAAAAATCATGGATGTGATGGAAAATTGAATCAATATTAATGATTGATTATGGATATCAAAGTCTTTATATCAAATATTTAAAAAATGTACGGATCTGCATTGTGCTTGTGTGTGTGTCAGGTAATGGGCCATTAGAAGAAAAAAAATTAATGCCTTCCCAATCAGGATTCCATCATAGGAAAAGGACACATGACCCATGATTTGAAGCTCTATTAAGAGGGTCCCACCAATAAGATTCGACCATATTAATTAACCACAAACTTCTAAACGTAGCATCAGTTCTGAACCCCACCTTCACTATTAAAAGGCCCTTTAATCGTAACCGGACGAATATACCAGGTAGACCTCTCTTAATATATGTGCTTATACTTTCTATGAAACAGACGTACACTTGTATTTTTAGAGTGAGTCTGCATACTAGTCCATAAACTAATGGATGCATGCTTATCTTCGATAATCATGGCATGTATGTTTTTTACGTATTGGCAATTGACAATTCCTCAGGTGGTAGCCTTAAACGAGAAGCTTCTGGCTAAAGAGATGCCACGAGAACCATTACCAGAAGAAAAGGCAGACCCACTTATGATGGAGCTAGCCCAAATGTCAACCCTGCCATTCAACGTGAAGGTGGAGGACCGACTCAGCAGTGGGAGTGGTGGAAGTGCAGTGGTGGACGAGGATGCTCCACAGCTTCTTGTGGACAGCGTCGATTCCTACTTTCCAGCTGAGAACTTTGATGGATGCGTGGCCAGCGTTGATAGGGTTCAGTCTGAGGAGGATGACGGCAGCGACAATGGTCGCAGTTACTTCTCTGATGTGTTTGTGGCCCCTGAACCTGAGCACCAAAACCATGAGGAGGGAGACCCGTTGTGTTGGTGGGTGTGGTCTTAAAACAAGCCTGTATTAAAAAAGATAAAAGAAAAAAGAGAAAAAAACATTATGATCTTGTAAGGTGTCATGTTAGAGATTAATGTTTTGCATAATAAAGCAGAAGACTGTGAGAGTCTGTTGTTTGTTAGAGATGATGTGGGATGTGAGCGTCAAAGAAAATCCCTTGGATCAATGCATCCAAAGCTTTGAGTTGAACAAATAATTGGTCAATGGCGTCTTCCGTTGTCTGGTCTTAGTACACATCAAGGGTAGTTCAACCTCGAAGGCTGGCTACCAGGCTTGTTTGCTATATATTTTAGTCTATATTTTCGTCTGCGTTGTTTTTAAAAGAATCTCTGATTGAGAGTGTAAAGTTTTTATAATAGAAATGATGCAGGTGATTCGAGTATAAGATGAAGGTATGTATTAGCTTTTCGGTCAGAAATTAACACCAGAGCTCCATTGTCGTTTTAGAACCAGCTTCCTCAGAAGCATCCCTGCCTCTCAAATAGTCGAAGCTGGGCCAACTGGAAGCCCCTCCAGAAGCAATTAATGCTGGTTTATGTATTGTGCACGGAATCAAACCAAACATCTAAAGACTACATGATGACCCACTGAAAAACGCCGCTCTGTCCAGACAATGACACGAAATGAGATGTTGCCAGTCTTCTACTTCTCCACCTCTAATATAATGTGTCAGTGTGTTAGTGAGCAGGATTCCAACAGGACCTAAAACGATTCATCATCTTCGACTTAAAACGAGCAAGATAAAGTCATAGACCCGGCCAAACATTCCTCCCAATAAAAACCATGTCGTCAAAATTTCCGTTCTGTTCCTGCAGACAACCGACACGCTGTTAACTTCGACAAGCAGATGCAGCGATGTCTGGGTGATGCATGGTTAGAGCTGCGCAGCCAGACTCGGACGTAAGTGTTTCTGCGTGCAGGAGAAATCCCCCTCGCAGCAGCGAAATGCTCAAACTCACTAGAGATTGGGCTCTAGCATCTTATCTGCATTAAAGACAATCCAAGAGAAAAAATTAAACAAAGCTCACCAACCCCTTCCACACTAACACATGGAAAAAAGCATTCATACCGTTCGACCACAGGACCACTGGTGATGATCAGTTCCGTCAGTCATTTCTGAAATGGCCTCTCATAATCATGTCCTCCAACGAGATTGTTGCCCTGAATCATCTAAATGTACCGCAGAATCTTCAATTACTTTATACGCAATTAAAGTTTGCTGAATGCAAGTCCTCCGAATTCTAGAATAAGGTTGACCATATTTTAAAGGCGAACGGTTGACGGAAGGCCATAGCCATGAAATGCCTCTGTCACATTCATTTCATCAGTGAAAAGGCTTCCATAAGGACCAGAGATTCCAGAGACATGCTTCGGCACCAATGTCTAGAATCAGAGATAAAAGGCAAGACTCATATCTAATCACTGCAGATTTAACAGATGCTCGCTGGCCTGTGTTTCTTCCCATCTCTGGATTTTTCGCAAGGAATCTCACTTCTTACATCTCTGTTTTTGAAGGTTCCACTAATATCTGTTCAAAAGCTGGCTGACCTCTATTGCATTTTGCTGCCGTTGTGTCCCTTCTAGAAGGTCATATGACGTTGAGTTTAAGGTAGTAGTATTATGATTCACTTGCAACAATCTGAGGGAATATATCCCTTCCTTTGACTTCTGTTGGTTGACCTGAAAATGAGCTGCTCCAATTCCAACAGAGCCATTGGTTTTTTGGGGCATGGGACACAGCATCAGCAAAGGTTTATGCCGCTACTTACCTCGGCACGGACACTAGACATCCTTTCGTTGTTCCTCCACATCTATATCTATGGAATCCATATTATGGCAGATCGCTTTTGAATTTATTACCACTGTATAACCTATTTTCCCCTCCATTAATGAGTTAGTCAGGACTCATAAATTATTGGGTCCGCATATGGCTAAACCAAACATTTACCAGGAGTTGGGAGTGATGTGGCGAGGCCTCGCTCCAGACCAGCTTCTGCGGCACTGTTAAATTGGATCACCTTTCTTACCTTGGTGGATAAGAGAGTGAATTTAGAGTGCATTGTAATTGCATCCATCTTTCTTTATTATTTTTTGATGCCATTTGTTTAACTAAAGACACAATTTTTTTTTTTTTGCCTGAGAATTTACTTTTAATATAAGACAGACAAATGTGGCACATTTTTTATTTTTTATTTTTGAAAATTGCATTACTGTAATAAAATTGTTAGTAATTTCCAAATCCTCTCACAAGAAAAAAAACAGAATAAATATTAATTAATGTAGGTAAATTGGCCTCAAAATAACGGCTCACCTAAAATTCGGTGGTTCCATCTTAAAAAGGAAGTAATTTAAATTCAAATTAAATGGGTGGGATGAATTAAGCAGATGAAAAGACCATATTAAGGGAATAATCCCCATCACAATGAATTGTTTAATGATCCTTGTCAAACGATAAAGCATCATTTCAAATCAAATCCCTCCGCCACCTTTCGTTGAGTTGGAGCGTCGGTGAGTTAAATTGAATTAACAGAAAAGGCTAATCGGGAGGCATAAATGGTAAAGCCGGGGAGTGGCAGGAGTTAGCAATTTGAGGGGAAGGAATTGGGCGATTTAGGGAATCAAGAATTAAATAATTGGTTGACCTGGCGATTCACATGTGTAATTACCCAAACTTGCCGGCCTCGGTCGGGTTTTCCAGTTGTGGCGTCGTCTTAGGCGACTCTTGTATTTGCCGGTTACACAATCTTCACTTCTTCTAGTGCCCTTACTCTCTGCGATTCACTCCTGTCTCTCTCTCTCTGCCCTTTTTTCATCGTTTTTCCCTCAATTTTCTGGTTCATCACACTCTGACTCCTATCTGGTAATTTCTGTCTCTTTTTTCATCTTCTGGTTCTTTTCACTCTAATTAAACGCTTGTTTGATCGGCATTAGGCATGGCAACTGCTGTTTTGTTTCCATCTCTCAATCAATTGACTTTACCGAGGAATTGGATTCAAATGCTTGTGTATTTCATAAAGAATCAGGAATGTAGTGCAGTATAAACCGAGATCTTGATACATTCTTGCTGCTATTTTGATTAATTCTAGCATAGCGCAGCTCCAAAATTTTCGGGGATTTCATTTGTTCCTTTTTCCCTCATGAACCCGAGGATACAGCATGATCTACTAAGAAGTAAGAACCTAATCATACTGCGTAAGTCCGTCTCCGTAAGGTGATGATCGGTTTCTGGTCTTGTAAATACCTGCTCACGTGGGCTATTTTTATATGATGCTTAAGTCTTAGGCTTTCTTATTCATGGTTTAGGCCCTGGGCCTTTCTAGCGGGTCGGGATTCTGTGGATCATAAGGGAAGACTATGAATGGGTCCCTTTGCCAAGACTCTCCATTTTGTAGGTATCGTGCAAATTTTGGTCTATGGGGGGTTTGGAGTGAACGGTCGGTGCAGAGATTTGTATTGGCAGCTGCAAAATAAATGTCTTTGCTCTTTACTCATTGGAAATGCAATTTTTGAGATATATGAATTCAAGAGAAAGAACTACTATAAGAATATGATATCTGGCGGAGGAAGATAAAGAAATTCAGGAGGGAATCTAAACAGCTAAATGTATTCATCTTATGGAGTGAGACTGAAATCAGGGGAATGAGGCTTACTGATACGTCTTTGGTTAAATTCTGCGCCATGGTTTGATGATCTCTTCTCCTCAAGTTTAGATCTCAACGTCATTTGCTTTTTACTATTTCATTCATTTTTACATTTCACAATGGTGATAGTTTAAATAAATAAAGCAGCATCCTGTATACTTCATATTGGTAGCTTTTATGAGATGTCCTTGTTTCCATTCCAGACGAAGGCCTCACAGGGATGTCAGAGAAAGCTCTTAGTGATAACAATACAACTCCTGAAAGTGAAAGGAAGAAAGATAGCTCTGGTAAGGCATGTTCAAATGTGGATTCTGTTGACAATGCGGATCAAAATATCAAAGATCTGCAGAAGAAAAAAATTTGTGCTTCCATAGTGCCTCCATCCGTCAATGGTAATCCTTCTGGCGATTCTCAAATAGAAATAGGAAATGCAGAAATAGAATACATTGATTCTGAGAACTTGAGGGATTTAGAAGATATTGACAGTTGTCTCAAGGTAATATTTTTTTCATTGCTGGAAGGTTTTTGAAGCTTTTTTTAATGGTCCTAATATTTCTTGAAATTAAACTGTTAATTATTATTTTTTTAATAAGGGATACAATCCGTGTATTGGTTAAGATTAGCTACTGGGTTTTATTACAGACTCTTTTGGCTGGATTAGACTCCAAGGACTGGGTCATAGTATGTAATGCCCTCAATAATGTGCGGCGGATTTCAATATTTCACAAGGAGGCACTACTTGATATTCTGTAAGTAACCAACATGCAGATATCTTTTCTTTTTCTGCAAAATTTGATAATGTAAAGCATTTTTTGATTGATCAATTTGCCTTTTTTTTCCCCTGGGGATTAATGAATTTATCAATATGCTTTCTGGTGAGCAGGGGGGATGTGATCACGTCTGTTGTGAAGTCCCTGAAAAGCCCTAGAAGTGCTGTATGCAAAACTGCCATTATGACATCTGCAGACATTTTCAGTGCATATAATGATTTTATAATAGATTTTCTGGACCCCCTGGTAATTGAATATTCCTTCTTGGATCTTTACTAAGGAATTTTCCCTCGTTACACTTGATTACATATGAACATGCTCTTGCATGCGTACAATTTTTCATGGATGCAGCTGGTGCAGCTTCTTCTCAAGTCTTCACAGGACAAGCGCTTTGTATGTGAGGCAGCTGAGAGAGCCTTAATAGCTATGACTACCTCGATTTCCCCTATGTCTTTGTTACCAAAATTGCAACCTCATCTTAAGAATAGGAATCCTCGAATTCGTGCAAAGGCATCAATGTGCTTTTCTCGAAGTGTCCCTCAATTGGTAAGAGAGATTTAAGAATGCCTCTTTTTACTGATGCTCATTTTCATGAGTTTCTAGGGTTACTTTAACTAGGTTTGTTTCACTTTTAGCAGCTTTGATACATTATTTTTTTGATGTGCTATGCATAATGCTAGAATAAGGTCTGAATCCTATAAAGGTTTTAGATGATTGCCACACAAGGAAAAAGGCATTTATCATTGACGAGCTTATGATAAAACATTTTCTTTTCACATCTGAATGAATTTTAAACGGCCCAGTTTCTATTTCAAATTTTCCTTGCAAACATTTCCTACTTATTTGGTTGAGAGGTGTTTTACTATTAAAAATTCCTTGTGTTGATTATTGACGAGTTTGTTCCTTGAATAAAAGGGTTGACCTTTTCTGATTGAGGTGTACAGGCATTCTTGTTTGCAAGCCCTTTATTTATTTAAACTGCTATTTTGACTAATGGATACAACTTTTGTCACTCTTGGTTGATGTTTGGCTGCTTTCCTTCTTACTCATTTTTGTATGCCCACTGCCTACTTGCTATATAGGCTGGTATCTTTTGGCAGTAGTGTACGATTCAGCACATCCGCACCATCTTCTAATTGCTTACATTTCAACAAATGAATTAATTAGTCACCTTTTATAATGAGTTACTTGAAATAAGAGTCTCAAGTTTTACACAATTCTTAAGGGCATGAGGGATCCTAACCACATATATTACATGCTCTGCGAATCAAGTTTCCCCCATTCTTTGGTCAATTCCTGATTTGAGAATCATTACTGGATCTTTATGCTAGCAACTTAATACGATGAATTGCACCAACATTTAAAGCTGAATGTGAAAGGTGTTTCTTCAGTTGATATTTGGAAGGGACTATGGTGGAAGAGCAATGTGCTACCCCGGTCCTAATTTGTAGACTACAAACGAGATCTTATAATTAGGACAGGAGGCAGTACATGGTTCATGTATTCTTGGCACTGGATGCTGAGCATTAACATCTGTCCTGTGTTATATCTATTTACAGGGAGCTGAGGGCATAAAGGCTTATGGGATTGACAAATTGATCCAAGTAGCTGCATCCCAGCTGAGTGACCAGCTCCCTGAATCCAGGGAGGCAGCCCGAACTCTGCTACTCGAGCTTCAGAATGTGTACGAGAAATTTCATGATCCCATGCCTGCTTCTGTTTCTGAGCATCCAGAGCCGGGTTCGTGGGAGAACTTCTGTCAATCAAAACTTTCACCGCTAAGTGCTCAGGCCGTACTTCGCGTTACCAGTATTGCTCGCGAGGGTCTGGTTTCATGACACGCGCCATGCTTGAACTTCTTTAATATCCGGTCTGCTCGTCATATTTTTTCCCCTGTATATACAGTGAAAATTGAGATGGTTCGAATTGCTGTTTAAGCACGGATTGAACGGAAATTTATGATTTGGTTCCGCATCTCTCCTTTTATCGTCAGATATCCAAATTACGTCATTTCCTCTCTTTTTCTCATTCCCTTATGTTTGGCAGAACACTTGTGGTTGATTGGCTTCGAGGCTTTGGCATTCATTTGAGCATTTGCTTCACGAAGCGTTCACTGATTCCATATTTGAATTGAGAATGCATCAGCGAATTTATCAATCCATGATTGAAAGTGATTCAATTCAGTTTCTGCATAACGACATGAAATTTAAATGTATTGGGAGCTATGCTACTCGTGCTATTTCAGTCCCCAAAAAAATACTACTCATACTATTTACATGAATTCTCCACATTTTAATTAACTTCTGAAAAAAGAAATAGCTATTTTCATGAACATTGTACTAATAAATGTATCAATATATATATTTTCATAAAAAATTATTCTATTCATAACTTGTGAGTTATGAAGAACCCGTCTGTGTGTTTCATTCGATGCAAAAGGGTGGATGACTTGAAATAACAACTTTTCATGTGTATCTTGTCCGTGGAGGATAGTTGGATACTTCACCGCGAGAATCTGGGGAAGTGAAAGATCCCATATACTAGATTAGCCTATTACAGACAAAAACTCACCGCTAGGACAAAAAGGTTTGAGTCCAAAGGTCCCATACTAGATGACCAGTGCTTATTCCGGACACATTATAAAGGGATCCAAAGAACAGAATAAACACCGGAGCTTCAGATCGTTTAAAAAGCTGAGAATTAGAGTTCATTTATGTGATTTGATGCTTCTAACGAGTCAGTTTTTATCAATCACTATCGAACTTGCGGGTTTTGCTATGCTTTCATACACCACACCGCTACAAATACAATTAGATACAAAAGGAAGCCTCGCTAATATTGATCCATGCGATCAAATTCAAAATTCTAAAACTTGATTGCGTCTTGGCTTTGGATGGCGACCCGTTTCATCCTGTGCGTTACAAATTCAAATTTTGCAGAAATATTACATAAGTAGAAAGGTTAAAAATTTGATCCAATCCACCTAGTATGAAGTCGTTTGTATAATTCATCACAATAAAGTTTGCCCAGATCTAGACGAGACATGGGCACAAATTTAAGACGCAAGAGCACTATGATAATCTGTTTCCTCACTGTCAAACTAGACATGAACACTAGACAACCGAAGGAATGATGAGAGATGGAAATCAACTTTTCTCCGAGTTGTTTTCCAATTCTTTCTTGAGCTGCAGCGAGAAGTCGTCATTGACGTCATCGTCGTCCCAATCATCTTCCCATTGCTGGCTTGTGTCTTTCCCCTCTTCTTTGTCATCCCATTCTATAAGTTTTGAAATATGTCAACAAGTGGGAAATAACATATTCTAATCCTCCATATAGAATTTTAAAAAAAAAAAAAAACTGCAATAATATTGAAGCAATTCAGATCTGTAATATGTGTTCCCTACTCACCAGTTCGTCCCATCAAGGGCTACATTTTCATTCCAGTCATATTTGAGGACTCCAAACGCAATTCTTTACTTTTCCAAAAATTATATATAAGCCATCTAAGTTAGTATGTCCTCGTTGATGTATGGATACAAGTGTGCCCTTGATACAAGTGGCTGGCGAAAAATATGAAGCTTCTATATTACAGGAAGCAAAATATTCCAGTTTATACATCAAAGCCCTCCCATATTAGAAATATATCAGCTTCATATTTGCATAAAACAGGGAAGGACATTCTTCGCCTTCGGGGATCTCTCCTTCCAACTCCTGCGTCATATGTCCCCCCATATTCAAAAATAACTCTCCCTCCAAGGCACATATGGTAAATGAAAGAATTAGGTCTAAGAATCAAGTTACACCAAACTTTTGAGTCCTACTCTTTAAACATCACTCATTCCTTCAATGCTTGAAAATGATTTAGCCAGTAAACACACGTCATGCCACACATTGGATCCATATATAAGCCCTAATGACATAAGAACTATACAACATACAACATAGAATACCAACTAGTTAAACCATCTAGAGCCAGAATGTTGGACCCATCTGATGGCTGCTACTTTCCTCATGGGACATGAATGCTGTTATAATTAATTTTCTGAAAGAACCCACTGTATAATGACCAAACTGACCCAACGACTCTTCTTTCTATAATCAGTTGTACGCTACAAGCAGGTACTCTATAATAAAGCAGTATTCCGAACTGAATCAACATCTTCATGGATAATATAAGTAAAAGTACCTTCATTGATCTCAAACTCTTCAAATTCATCATCATCTTCAAACAAATCAAGTTTTGGATCTTCAACCGCTGCCATGGAATACTTCTCCATTGTCTAATTTCACAACCGAGTAATTAATCTGCGAGACTGCAACAATCTACAGGAGAGAGAAAACAAGCTTTGAACTTAACAAGAATAAGAACCAAACAGAAGAGAAAAGACGACATGATTGTTGCATAGAAGAGACACGCTCATCTTCAGAGTCTAGGAGTTCATAAACCAGAAGCACAGAAAGTTGAACAGAAATCGTGAACCTACAAACATGACTCACCCTCCTTTAGAAAGAACCCTAACCTCCCAACAAGGGGCAGCGAACAAAAGAAAGAGGAGAGGCGTCTGGTGTCTTTAACGCTACCCTTGCCGCTTGCGGAAGATTTCCTTCTCGCAGTTCACTCGTAACGTCGGTTCTCTTCTTTTAAAATAAAAATATTGTGATTGGGCCGCTTTGTAATATTGATAGTACGATTCAGCCCAATCGAAGTTAAAATTTTAGCCCAAAAAGGAGCCCAACCCACCCTGTCGTGAGCGAACCCAGGAAGGTTTATGGGTTATATCCAGCTCACAAGGTTTTTTTGTGTGGGGGGGACCAATTTATTACTCCTCCGGTCCTAATTATAAGACCCAATTGACTTATTTGAGGAGATTAAGGAAGTAAGTTAAGTTGGTTATTTATAATAAATAAGTGTTGTTATTCCTAAAATATCCTTGCTAATTAAGTATATTGGCTAAAACTATCATTATTAGAAGGATTATCTTGAAAAAAAATGCATAAATATAAGAGAGAAAATGGATTTGGTCTTGTAATTATGACCAAATAAAAAGTCAAATTAGATCTTATAATAAGAACCGGAGGAGTATCTAGTTATTAAGTCCGCGATCTAAATAGTGTATTTAATACCGACAATGTTTTTATAACAGGTTTGTCTTTAATAGAATGCTTGCAAAAAATAATGACAATTTTTGAGTTCGAATTAATTTATTATAAAGGGTCGAAAATATTTTAGCAGTGTATTTGTCCACAAATCAAGAACAATCGCATATAAAATTATACTCCTCCGATATTTAATATAAGACCCATTTAACTAATTTGATTAGATTAAAGTTAGGTAAGTTAATTAATTATAAGAAATGTAATATGTTTTTCGTAAAATACCATAATCATCTTTCTTAATACCTTTCTCCCTCTTCTACTTGATTATGGTTGAGGGAGTATCCATAGGGATAATTTACAGAAAATTGATAAATATGAGAAATGGATTTTATATTTAGAATCAAAACCAACTCAACAATTGAGTCTTATATTAAAAACCAGAGGAATATGTAGTTTGATCCATTTGAAACGTTGACTAAAATTTGTTTGGTAAATTTCGGTCTTGAACTTTTAATTGAAAAAAAATAAAATAATGCTTTTTAATCAAAAATAGAAAAGAAAAGAACTAAAGAAGCCTTCATTTCCCTTCGGTTACAAGTTGACGCTACCCATATTTTGTCCGTAGGGCGGCGTAAGCTCTTTATCAGCCGGCCACTCCTTCCCCAGGCGGCCGTTCAAAGCACATCCCACTTTTCTTGAGTGCCAAATTAAAAAAAAAAAAAAAAAAAGAAATAAACAAGAATAAAAGTTGAGTAGATATAGTGCAGCATCGTTGAGAACATCGGTGCGTGTTTGAGAATGTAATTTGCAGGGCGCATGGTTTGACGTACTCTCTATATGATGAAAGCATCAGAAACATGAAGATAAAATCAATGAATCAATCATTTTCTTTCTGTTCGCTCCGCTGGTGGGTCCGATTCATCATTCATATTTTGTTCGTCACGACTTATGCTGCAGGTTGGTAAATTATAAACAAGTTAAGCACTGCTATATGCAGTTTTTTTTTTTTGGTAAGAACAGCCAGGTTGACCCATCTCTGTAAGTTTCACAGCTGTACAAGTCTTATAACTGTGGGTAAACAGTTTTTGTAAGTCGACATAGAACCCATGTCTGTATAACCATTCCAAACCATCAGCAGTTTAGATAAAAAAAATTAAGGCTTTCGGCAATGTCTTTGACAAGGACTGACTTTTTAAAAAAAAGAAAAAAAAATGATCAGCCACCATCTCCATTGAAGGTGCAATATCATATTTTAAAATCTAAAGAGACTATATATGAATGAAGAAAACAATGTCTAAGAGGAGGTTTGCTTTGGCCGGCAATAGCGCCTAGTCTAGAAAAAGAAAAGAAAGGAACAAGATCTGGCGATGCTATTGCTAGTCATTTTGTGTTTGTTCCCATCTGAGTGATGCACCCTAATCTCTGAAAATACTTATCAAGCTTCAGTAAACTTAAAAAAAAAAAAGAAGCTTGGAACATATTCCCGTTACTGTAGGTTTTGTCCTTCCTGCTTCATCACCTGGAAAGCCATACAAGGAACAAATTCCGGAAACACCAATAAGGAAGCAGCAAAAATTGAAGCCGATGTCCGTAGAATTGCTGTTCTGCTCTCACCCAATTGTAAATGGAGGTAACTAGTATTTTAGCATCATAGATTTCACTAACGTCGGCTTTGGATTATTTCAGATGTATTACTTCGAATTACTCTAGACAGAAAGCAATCAGAGGATGAGCAGTAAGAGAGGTGCTTAATTGTCTTGTATCACAATTTCAAATCTGCAGATTACTTGTGCTCACACATTCTTGAGCTTGCAGATATATGGCTTCTTACTGCAGTTACCATAGCAGTTGTATTGATAATAATTATGACTGCATACAACTTGCTTCGTAAACTTTCCAGATCAACCCACCCCAGAAATGAAGGTATGACCTAAATTATATCAAACCTACATTCACAGCATTATAGCAAAGGTGAAGCTTATTGTTCTTATGCGGTCTACCTTTTGTAATCCATAGCAACAAGGGGGAAGGTTCTGTTGAAGGACAATGCTTGTCTAAGAGTTCCCCTAAAGGAAGTGTACTCTGCCACAAACCATCTAAATGAAATGAATGTCATTGGCGAAGGAACTTTTGGTACGAATTTCCTTTTTCCCTCTTTCTTGAAACACGGTGATTAGATTTAAAAAAAAAAAATCATTTTTTTGTCAAGCAGTAAGATTTTGGCTCAGTGAATTAAAAAATAGGTTTGGAAAAAATAACCTATAGGTATAATATATGCAATATAAAATCTTAACATCAATTTAGCAATATGTCTATATTTATTTTTGTTCTTTTCATTCTCGACAGGTTAAGATAACGCTGCGAGATAAGACTTTTAAAATTCAAATGCTGGTCCTTTCTCTACTATTGTTGAACATATCTAGATATTTGATTTCACCTGTCAAAGTCTAATCTAATGTCTATTAAAAAGGCCATAATCTTGTTTCTAACTTTTGATACCAGGGAAGGTTTATAAAGGCACAATGACAAATAATCAACATGTTGCAATAAAACACATCATCAATGATGATGGAAGCATGGAGACTTTTGTCAGAGAAATTACAAACTTATCACATGTTAGACATCCAAATCTCGTCGCTTTGTTGGGTTGCTGTGTTGAGGGAGATGAATGTTTCCTTGTCTATGAACTGTGCCCCAATGGGAGCCTTTCAGAGTGGCTATTTGGTAATATTAATTTACCACCTCATCTGACATGAAAGCTTGAATTAATAACCCGTTTCATCTTTAAATTGCGAAGAATTGATAAATTCCGATCATCAGGCAAGAGCAAGATTCTTTCCTGGATACAAAGGCTTAATATTGCAATTGATACTGCAAAAGGTCTTTGGTTCCTTCATACATATCCACAAGGCTCCATCGTTCACCGTGATGTCAAGGTCATTCCTTAAAATCTTAACATATCTCAAATCTCAATTAGATATGACTAGTTTCTACTTTTTTCTAGCTATAACTCATGATGATTCCACAAACCCAGGACAGAAACATTCTGTAACTGTTGAATGATAACGAGTTTTTGATAGAACATCTGTTTGTTGCAGCCAACGAACATTCTCCTGGGGCCGAAGTTTGAAGCAAAGCTATCAGATTTTGGACTCTCTAAAGTTTTAGAGGTGGGTGAAACGCACGTTAGCTCAGAAGTGAGAGGAACTTTTGGATATGTTGATCCTGAGTACCAAAGCAACCGCCATGTAAATTCATCTGGGGATGTCTACAGCTTTGGCGTGGTACTTTTGCAGATCCTCTCTGGGAAGAAGGCTATAAATTTGAAACTCAAGAAACCCATGACTCTGAATAAAATGGTGAGAACTTACATGCCTTTAATCTTCAATTCTATCTCTTGCATTATTTATTTATTTATTTAGATTGATATCACTCTAGTATTTCTCAGGCAAAAGCACTCACAAGGGGTGGCAGCATAATAGAATTTGTTGATCCTAAACTTCAAGGAGATTACTCAGAAGAAGCATTTGATTTTACCCTCCATCTTGCTCTATCATGCACATCCCTTACCCAACAACGTCCATCCATGGAACAGGTTGTCACAAGATTGGAAGAAGCCCTACTGATTTCGATGAAGAATATTTCTGCAACAGACACTTCAGTGGACAATCCTTCAATTCTATGATACAGTGATAATTAGGATCGCTTGTGTAACAGTAGATAATTTTTGTTTACTCTTAGAAGTATTCAGTTGTATAAGTACTTCAAAGTGAATTTTAAGTTTTTCTTTGATTATCAGTCAGAAAGCTTATATTTAGATTGCTACACACACTTACAAGTGACCCTCGGTAATGGAAGAAATTATAATAAGGTGAACAGAGAAAACATTCTTAAACCGCTTTAAGTGTGAAATTATTGTACCATTTTCTTGATTTACCATTCATAACCTCGTTCGTAGGTTCCTTCACAGACAGGACATCATGAACATAAATACGAAGTTACTAAAAAACTACAACCAGGCTGGATTTTTCAGAGGAGTGACAGCAGCCTTGATTTGCAGGTAATTGCTAAGGCTATAGATTCCCCTTACCCTGCCTTGCCCACTCATCTTATACCCACCAAAAGGTATTGCTGCATCAAATACATCGTAGCAGTTTATCCATACTGTTCCAACTCGCAATGCACGCATCAATGTGTTGGCAGTGTCCAAATTCTGAGTAAAAACTCCAGCAGCCAGTCCATAGGATGTTGCATTTGCTCTCTTAATTACCTCATCAAGATCCCTATAATTTATTTCAAAAACTAAATGAAAGTGGTCTGAGAGCAGAAAGCTATTGAAGAACATACAATTATGATTGTATGAAGATTTGTGACTAATGATTTTGAGCTTACCTGAACTTCAAGATAGTCTGCACTGGTCCGAAGATTTCATCTTTTGCTATCAACATGTTGTCCTGTCAACGTGATGACAAAATCATTTTAGTTATGTACTTCTGTTTTAAAATTTATCTTGCTACTTGAACAGAAATAGAATTATTTATTGGAAGTTCAGTACCTGGACATTTGAAAAAACAGTAGGTTGGATGTAGTAACCTTTTGATCCAATTCTTTGACCGCCAGATTCAAGAGTAGCTCCGCTGTCAATGCCTGATTTAATGTACTTGAGGATCTTCTCGAATTGTGTTGAATCAATCTAGAACATAAAAACAATGGATGACATCAGTAAGCATCAACCTAAAAAAGAATTTATTTGTGACTAAAGGGAGAGGATAAGAGATACCTGTGGACCTTGCTCAACCCCCCTTTTAAAAGGATCTCCAACAGTACGTTTGAGGGCACGGGCTTTTGCTTTTTCAACAAACTCATCATATATGCTTTCATGTACAAATGTACGAGAACCGGCACAACAACATTGACCCTGTGGACACAAATGAAAGAACAACTTGAACCATATTGCCACACTTGGCGAAACACTTCAGGATGTTTTTGATTCTCTACAGTGAATAATATGAAATAGGATCTTCAAACCTGATTAAAGAATAAAGCAGTATGTGCAGTCTCAACAGCCTCATCGACGTTAGCATCCTTGCATACAATGAAGGGAGATTTTCCACCTAGCTCCAGAGTCACTGGCTTCAAATTACTTTGTGCAGACAGTCCCAGTACTAGCTTACCGGTGCCACTGGATCCTGTGAAAGCAAGCTGCCAAAATTTAAGCAATTTTTAGTTACTTGAGTACCAAGTAGACCATACATAGACATACGTGAGGCATTGCTAATGTGCCCAACTAAGTCCATGAAAAAGCAGTTCAATGGCTAGTTCATGGAACAGAGATTAGAGGACTTGGGAAAAGAGATATTTATGAAAACGAAAATATGTTTTGACATGCCCTACATTTCGTCCATTAATATCTACAAAAAAAGAAAAAATGAGTTCCTTTTCATATATAGAACAAAATTTAAATTATTTGAAGTACCTTGTCAACACCCATGTGGCTACATAGAGCTGCACCAGCGGTGGGACCATAGCCAGATATAATATTTAGAACACCAGGAGGAAGTCCAGCCTGCAGCCTCAAATACATCATTGAGCGATAATCACCAATATTTAGATTGTAGAAAGAAGCACGTAGAACCTAAATCCATTTGTTCCTGTCCTTTTTTTGGGTTTTGCTGGTGAACTTTTATATCATGAGCGTTATTACCAAACAAATCTATGTGTATATGATTATATGGTATTTAGACACGCGCAAGTCCAAGCAAAACGATAAAACTGAGGGCCTAATAGCGCATTTCTTGGCAGAAAGTGTTAACTTTTATTCCAGTGAAGTTCACTTAGGCATAAATTACCTCATGAAATAGCTTTGAGACAAAGAGGGCAGAGAGAGGTGTCTGCTCTGCAGTTTTGAGAACAACCGTATTACCACAAGCTAAAGCAGGGCCAACCTTCCATGAATATATAAGAAGAGGGAAATTCCAAGGAATTATTTGGCCTGCCACTCCAATGGGCTCATGCAAGGTCTGGACATGGTGGTGTCCATCAGATGGAACCGTGAGACCATGAATTTTGTCTGCCCAACCTGAAGAAAACACAAAGCATCATCCCAAAGAGTGTCAACTGTCAACTTCTATAAAACATCATATATATATACAATGGCTGATGGCATGAAGCAGGACCACAAAGATCATCCTACCAGCATAATATCGAAATATACGCGTCACCATAGGAACTTCAACATTTGCAGCCTGCTCGTAAGGCTTTCCGTTATTCCATGTTTCAAGTGCTGCAACTTCATCATTGTGCTTTTCCAGTAAATCAGCAAAACGCAGAATTATGCGTGATCTTTCCTGGAAAAAGCCATAAATTTGGATGAACATTCTTGTCCATGACCGAACATGGAGCATTACAACATTGTCCACACATGTATGTTCTGAAATCTGCGAAGTAAAAATGGGTTTTTAAAAAAAAAAGGATTAAAAGGGATACATACATAAGCTGTCATCCTCGGCCATGGTCCCTCATCAAAGGCCCTCCTGGCAGCGGAGACAGCACGATCCACATCTTCGCTGTCACCTTCAGCAACATTGGCAATTGTATTTCCTGTCCTGGGATCGAAAGTTCGGAAAGTTTTTCCTAAAAATGGAGATGTTTATTTTTCAGTAAATAGCCTGAACTTGTACATGGTTTTGCTTATTAAGGCAAGAAATCAACCAGAAGCAGCATCAACAAATTGCCCATCAATCAGAAGCTGAGTGTGATCTACTTGAACAGGTGGGGTAATAGGCTCCTCAGCTGTAGCTGCAACAGCAGCAGATTCGTGAACTCCACTTATACCTCTGACCCACCGACGATGTAGCCCTGAAGATATAGTCACCCAATCGCTCAGATAATCAAATGATGCATACCAAAAGAGATACAACGCTTCAGTTTTAGTTTTTCTCATTTATTTTTCCATTGCTTTCAGTTTCATCTTCATGTACAATCTCACGCAGAACCAAGAAACTTAATAACCCTGCATCCATAAAGGACATGAGGAAGAAACATTACCCAAACAACGTCTGGAAGCAGAGGCAGAAGAAGAAGCGAGAGGACGCAGAATGCGAGCAGCCATGGCCTGCTTCGACCTATGGGAGCTGGGATAATAATATCTGGCTTGGCTATATTCCTACTTGCCTCGCTTCTGCACTCTCCGAAAGTCTTGAACTCATGTATAAGACCTGCCCTCCTACCCCTCTTGGAGCATTATATCTTTTTCACAGTGCATCAGAGTACAGTGTCAGCAGAAAGGACGGCGTCCAAACGATGGCGTGTCCTTATCATTTTGATCATTTTGATGGTACTCCTGCATCATCAACTCACAAACAAGCTCGCTTTCTCTCATCTTTTGTAGGATTGTAGTATAGAATGAGTCATGTGATTAGCCGAATTTCATGATGGCCGCCACAATAGGGAAGTAAAGCCTATTTACGCATTCGTTTCCATATGATGAGCCCGTCGCGGTGAAGTTTTGATGGTCTACATAAATTCAGCCTGAATGGTTTATAATTTTTTTTAAAAAATATAAATATTTTGTCCTTTTTTTCTTTATATGAAAATTTGTAAAATTAAATTTAGATTGTTGAAAATTAATTAATGTAAATGAAGATAGGATTGGACGGTAAAAACACGTCACCGAGTTGGCCCTCTTGCAGCGAGTGATTGACTTGATTGCCCACTTACCGGTCCAAGTCCCAATGGGTCACGTGAAAACGACGTTTCAATTTGCAGCTACCCTTTTTCTTTCCTTTATTTTGATAATATAAATCAAACGGACGCATCCGACACAAAGTTCATTATTATTTTGCATAAGCAAACATAGAGACCAAATAGTCAAATCTAACAATGCCCGGCAAGTGTGCTGCTGAGTACTAACTACCAACTTTACACTAGATTTGCTTAATCATTAATGGAAAGGGTATTAGGTATTTATGTTTTTTAAATAAATTCAGAAAATAATTAATCAATTTCAATATAAAGAATATTCTTAAATTATAAATAAATAAATAAATAAAACAATTCAACAATTATGTGATAATGAATAATAAATTTTTTTAAACACAGGTATTTTTTATTAAAGACAATTCTACTTGAAATACTATTAGGTATTAAATATAAACACCTCTTTTAAAGCAATTCAAGCCTTGATTCACTAAGCCTGCTAGAAAAGAGGCTAACCGCCGAAAATATTAATAGACCAGGATTGTATCCCATACATTACTCTTCCACTAGAGCCCGTAAGCTGCTTGGGCTGTCAGTGAATAACAATTGAAAAAAATTGAGCAGACTCTCTTGAGGAACAGGCCTGGAAAAGGAAAGCTGTTGTGATATCCTTAGTAGAGAACGGGGAAGGCCAAGATTGGGCCCAACCTTATCACGCCCCTACACTGGGCTATGATGCTATCCCCACTTTTTTTTTTGGGTTTACGAGAGGGCAAGGCCCAGAGAAAACTAAAACACACTAATAGGTACTGTATCCCAAGCACCCAGGATCATCTAACGTCCTCAAATGAGATCAAGAAGAACAGATTTAGATAAAGCCTCATCGTTCTTTTTGTCTTCCAATATGAAATCAAAATGCCCATGTTCCATATGGCATGGTCACAAATACATCATGAACACAGGAATAGTAAGTGATATATGCGTGTTACGCAATGGAGATCGGCCCCATGGATAATAATGAAGTCAATAGAACAACAAAAGTGGATGTGACGAGAGGCCCTTTAATTCTTGTTGTCCATAACGAGCTTGATGA